TGAGGAATATAAACTCAAGCCTTTGAGTAGACTGGAATTTTGGCCTGGTCTAGCTAGTCAGTTATAATTAAGGAATGTGTCTACAAAACTCCTAACAAGACTTTCCTATTTGATTTAGGTGACATCACAGGCTAGGCAAAAATAATATGCAATGCTGTGTGCATAATAAATATACATATCTATATTTTAAAACTTAAGAAAATGCCAAGACCTTTTTAAGTTCTATATTTGACCTTAAAGAATATGTCTCCATTTCATTGGCCAAGTGGTCGGACAGGCTGTATGGAAACGGGATGCCAAAGTAATCAGCTTCTTCCTGCAGGGCAACTCGGGTTTGCTCGTCAGTGGGAATCTGAACTTCTCCATGAAGGTAATCCAAAAGGTATTTAAATAGATGCCCGTCACGGTCAATAACACATGCCCCTAGAAAACATTAGCATTCACAAATGGTTGCACATAAACGTTATGACTAATGATGAGAATTCAGTAAGTCTAATTAAATCAGCCTGAGACCCTAAAGAATGAGATCACGCTCCTCCTCCAATAGTCCAATGACCTGGACTTGGGAGCCTTTACTGGAGCTGCAAACAAGATGTACCGACAGCCCTCAGCTTGCCAACAGGTGACCTTCTGAAACTTAACTGGTGAATGGATGTTGGCTGTTAGCTCTAAGACACACTGGGTAAAATTGGAACACAAACATATGTGCCCAGGTCCCCATGTTTGGATGTGAGGTGTTCTCCACACAAGGGTGCCAAGCCATGGGAGGAAGTGGGGCTCACCAAGCTATGCACCCTGCCATGGGGCCATATCTTCCTGAACAGAGGTGTGACTTTTTCTCACTGCACATTGAGCTGTCTTCTCATTTCCCTTGAGCTAGTGGTGGCTCTCTGTATTCTTAACTACCAGAGAAGAAAATGGATTCAGGGTCCCATTTGAAATTTGGATGTATGACCACATTCCCACACCCCCCAAAACCAAAGTCCTTGTTGGCAAGTCAAAATCTGACAGTGACCCCATCGGACAGAGAAATGTGCCATAGGGTTTCTAAGGCTGTAAGCCTGTACAGAGGGAGACTCCTGCACCTTTCTCTGGCAGGTGGATTTGAACCATTGGCCTTTCAGTTCACAAGCAGATTACATAACAATTGCACCACCAC